CTTAAATTAAAAAATGCTCTTAGCATGTGTCACAGTATTTGCATCTCTCTTGGGCTAAACAAAGGCAAATGATCCCAATTCAGAGCAGAAGACCATTATTTTTGTTAAGATATGAATATGAAGACCGCATGGCACTATGATAAACATGATATAGAAATGAAAGAAAGTTATAGTGCTTAGAAGGAGGCAATTCCGGGAGAAGTCCCTTAGGAATAAATTCGGAAAAATTAATTTCCGACCTCGCTGGGATTATTTTTGTTGATTTTTTGGTATTGTCGATTATTTGAAAAAAAAAAACAAAACAAAACAAAACAAAACAAAACATAACAAAAAAGAAATAAAAAACGAAATAAATAATATTTGTAAGAGCTCATTCATGTGTACTGCATTTACATATATGTCGCATATATGTCATCAAATAGTGCTTCACATTGTTAGTCTTTTCATATGCGTGGCTATTAAATGAGTAATAATAATAATAATAACAATCTTTTATTAGGAAAAACTATCACATAAGTGTGGTTTTCATAGAATTCCTAATAGTAGTGGATGACCACCGCACAGTCGATTGCTGAGGAAAAACCGTAAGTAATTTTATATAAATACGTTTTCTTCTTTAAATCCATTTCTTAAGGCTGAAATTCAAAGAGCGTAAAAGTAGGTTTTAACTTTCAAAATTTCATTCTTCGTGATACTCCTCAACAAGCACGTAGTTTATACTTCATCTAAGCGCTTTAAACAAGCWCTAATTTTGATGAACAGAGAAAGAAATTTAAGCTCACTGACGTCGTCAGCCATATTTTCAAAGTTTGTCAAACCTGATCACTTCGTCTTTCGTTAAGACGTGAAATGGCTGGCAAAAAAAATATTTTAATAAAATTTAAAATCAAAAAAAAACATTTTAATAATCATTTTAAAAAAGGTTTGAATTAAGCATATGGAACTTATGGGGGACAAATAGTCCGTGATCACTCATGCTTGACCTTACAGTCCGTATGAAGTGCCAAATCTGACGAAAAAAGGCCAGATTTCATGGCTTTTTGAAGAAATGCGGCGACATTAAAAACAATCCTAAAAACCTAGCACCGGATTTAAGAAATAAAATCTATATGCGACCTTTCTGGGTATTTTTCATGAGAAAATTCGAAAATCCAATCACGTATTTTTGCCCTTGAATAGTTGAAGTTGAGCATTAAAATAGTATGGTGATCCATGTTTTCACCACAGTTCGCTCCAAAAAACTGGGCCTCGCGCATAACTTATTTTGTTAATAAAAAACCTAGCACCGGATTTAAGAAATAAAATGTATGTGTGACATTGCTGTGTATTTTTCGTGAGAAAATTTAAAAATCAAATTACGTATTTTCGCCTTTGAAGAGTTGGCGTTGCTTCGCATCCGTTTGCGTTTCGGGATTCCTGTCCCGACGATGAACGGATGCAAAGGAGACTACTTCTGTAGGCACACGCAACAAAAATCAAACTTGAATTTTTCAAATTATTGCTTTCTTATTATATGTTGAAAATGTACTCAAAACTATGCAGTTTTGTGTTAATTCAATATTTGAAAAATTTATATCAGTCAGTGAACGTAACTGTGATATTTTATGTACATGTACTTTCCTTTCTAGAGGTGACTTTGCTATTAATAGTATTTAATGTCAGATGATGATGTTAATGAGGTCGATCGACGACAAAATATTAATTAACTCCATTGTATTATATTTCATGAAGTAAATAAATAAATTACATGCATATATACATGCATGCATGGATGCATGAGTGAGCCTGGACAATAATCCAAGCAAATGTCAYCCGATGTACGGCAATAAGTTCCATATGAAAAGCCTTATTTTTTGATCATTTAAATAGTTTAGCGAAGTAGAGTTATTTTTTATAGGCAAAAGAAAACTTTTCCCCTGTGTTTGCATAGTTTGATGCAAACCTTTGGGCAAGTTGAGAGAATTTATCATGGACGTTTATGCAAACACTCGACGAAAAAAAATAATTAAATAAAAATAATATCTATTAGGGGGTTATGCCCACTTTCATTAAATGAGCAATACTCACCTCTTTGCGTCTAAGTATCCGTCGCCGAAACTTACATGAAAATGCCACTMAAAATAAGCCCCTTATCATGAGCATCTTAAAATGAAAGAAATAAAAAAAGTACGGGCACTTGCACGTTCACCGTTATATTAATTCTGATCGTTCCAGGACAGACATACAATTACCAGAGCCCTTCAGCTAATTATGGGATATATTAAGATGTCCGCTGCACTCTGTGCATGCCTGATAGCACTAATCGTTGCTGAAAACAAAATATGCAAAAAGTCAAGCAATTTTGATCGACATCAAGGTATCCAGCTTCAAGGTCATGTGATCAATACGGTCACTACATCAGACTTGGGGGATTGTGTGATTGAATGCAGTAAAACACATGGCTGCTTATCTATGAATGTTCACAACGCTGGAAATGCGATGCACTGTGAGCTCAACAAGTCAAACCGGTATGGCAGGCAAGCAAACCTGATAAAAACCAGTTTTGATTGGGAATATTTGGAAATGGTAAGTTTTAGTTGCATTTTTTTGTAAACACGCTATTCCATCACGGCTTGTCAAGTGATGCATTCTTAGAAATAGTATTTTCGGGAGCCATCAAAAGCAATGCCACGAATTGTTGTTGAAAACTCAGCCTACATCAGTTGCAAAATCCACTTTTATATTTCCTTGTTTTTAAATATATATATATATTTTTTGAAAATTTCAAAAAAATTGCACTAAATACTTTCTATGGTATGGTATTTCGAGAGAATTGCCCTATAGTATAATGACGTCACAGAAGTCTGACATTGTGCGTAGATGCTCAGAAAGACACGAAATTTGGATCTTTTTTTAATATTCTTTACGAAAGTAAAACTGTGTCGACTTTTGATGTACATGCATCATTAATCAATGTTACCTCATCTACATTTTTTTTTAAATTTGTATAAAACAGCTAAATTTATATTAGAGAATAACGCTTCTTTGTAGGCGTAATACGTTAATAATGTAAATAATAAGATGATAGTTTTCATGTCTCTTGAGTAGTCTTTGACAGGTAAATTCTGAAGTTTTGGGCTTCCTGTTCCTTTTTTTACTCCGACGAAGGATTAACGTCGGAAACTTGAGTGACCTAGTTTTTTAAAGTGTTAAATTTATCTTTTTAGACAACTGTTTCTTTAGAAACACCGACGCATCTCACAATAGTTTACCGGCGCTAGTCTACACCCTTTTTTAAATAGCGTATTCTGCGGATATCGTCACTAGCAGTTTTTTTTTTCGCGCGCTTCAAGACTTCGCAAACATCAAATGTCAAGAGTCAACGAACGTTTTATACTTAAACGAAGATTTAAAGTTGTAGTTTTCCTTAAAATGATAAATTTTTGGATCTAGAAGATGAAATTATTCTTGAAGCGCAGTCAAATAATTAATAAGGTTGATAGCAATAACAAGAATCAGTCGGAGACATTTCGCGTATAACGATCTCTCGATCGATCGACTTTTTTTATACAAACAGAGCGTCCATCCTATTCTATTATAATTCAAGAAAGGTAAAACGAAGGTAAAACGCAAGAAGAGAGCATAATGATTAAGGATTACGTTTTACATTTTACCATCTGGTATTATGCGAGATTATTTTCAATTATCCTATTGGTAAAATGCAATAATTATGCCAGAATTACACGTGTTTTTAGTTTACAAGATAACGAAAGTAAATCATACACGATAATACTTGTTATCTAGTCATTTTACTGTGGATAAAATGCGCGTTAAGACTATCAGGCAAACAGAGGTAATTTGTTAATTCGTTAATTTGTTAATTCGTTAATTTGTTAAGCGTGGATTTCACTAGCTCATAAGCATAGCATAAGCACAAGCATGAGAATCATATGCGCCAGTGAGAACGGGCTCGACATAAGCATAAGTTATAGAGCATGCGCACGAGCGTGATATTTCGGTACCAGGCTATGCTTATGCCTATGCAGTCCCGTTCTCACTGAGCATAAGCATGAGATAAGCATGAGATAAGCACAAGAAGATTAAGACTTGCTCGTTTTTCTTATGTTCATGCTTATGCTTATTTTGARCCCGTTCTCATTGGCACATATGACTCTCGTGCTTCGTGCTTATGCCTATGCTTATGCGCTAGTGAAATCCACSCTTTAATTTGTTAATTTGTAATGTTTTTGGAGAGGTAAAATTGGTAGGATAATTAAGATTATCCCTTGATTTCGGCGTCTGGTAATATGTGTGCAAAATAGGGATTTTGCCCAGAAGAAATACGAGGGAAAAAACGTAGTGGAAAATT